TCCCTATTGGTTACATGAATGGCTAGTTGCATTTTGATGTGTACAAGTTAGAATATTGAATGTGTCCTTCGTCACTTGATTTGGTTGAAACTTGAAAAGAAAAGGATGGATTGGGTTAATTTATTGATAAGGGCTAAGTTGATGTAGATTCATAGAAGCAAGGAAACCCAAGACTTAGCCAACCTCATTTTCCTTGCCATTTGCTTCTGGCCAATGAGAGAGTGGACTTTTTTTTGTTCTGTTAGGTAGGGAATTGAAAGCCTTTTACCAAGTTGTATTAGAAGTCAAGTTGGCCAAACTCCAAGGGGAGAATGTAGCTTTCATTATCTGGATAGGCTAATGTAATGATTTACACTTCATCTATTGTTAATCATTAAACTAGAGGTGGGGTTTTGGGTTTGGTAGTGTCAACAAATCACATGACATGATGAAATTAACTAATCTTCCTATTAGTCTATGCTGGTTTAATTAATCATTCATCTTTTCATAATTGTTAAATTTTCATCATTATCCTGTCCTTCCAAGTTCCCTATCATGCCACACTGAACCATAATTAATGTCTCAATTGTCAATTGTCACCCTTTTGGCATTAGCTAATATGGATCAACGATCAATCCAGCTAGCAGTGCTTCATAGCGATAAGAGTCGACACATGCTGATACCGATGGATTGCACTGTCCGCGATCTCAACCATTAGATTGATGTCAGTTGAACTCATGACTTCAAATTTTGAGCATGAGAGAAGTGTTTGAGCCATGTGGGTTGATGTCTGTCATGTTTCTCATCCTGTATTTTTAAGTTGTGAGATGATTACCAGCTCTGAGAATGAGACGAAGTCAGACAAACATGGTTTTTTTTGTTTCATTTCTCGTTTGTTTAAGATTTCTTGGAGATAAGCATATGGTGTTACATGAAACACCCACAGAAATTCATGTTGCCTTGTCTTTGCCACTTGATATAGTTGGTGAAAGCATCTCTTTTTTAATAACCTGCAGCTGCAGGTAGGTCAGGTGAGATATAATTTTATTTAAAAGTTTACCTGGTATGTTTATCTTTACTCTAATCCATCACTTTCCAATCTTTAAACCAAAAAGAGTGGAAGGTGGGAACTAGGAATCAGGAAAGTAGTTGCAGTATAAAAGGAACTCCATTTCCAATTTATCTTACTACAGTGAGCATGATCCGAGCTGATTGAAAATCAAATTGCGTTACAATAGAACTGGGTTGAGGATTATAATCGGATTAAAAGTGCATTTGACTTCATCTTATTTCAATTTGATTTGGATTCAAACAACAAATTTATTCACCAAACTGACCCCTATCAGACTCTCTCTCTTAATCATATCCCACCAACTTAAGATCTCCCCATAGAATTGTGTCAGCAACTTCCTTGCCTGTTATACGTTAGCAGTGCCATGAATTAGTGGATATTTCAACATGCTTAGTCTCAAATTTTTGGTGCTCCTCTGGAAAATATGTTGTGGAAAAAGCCTTTGTATTTTAACAATGCGTGTATATGAAAATAAGAGTGCTATAAAATATAATTTTTTTTGGACAAAAGATAATCTTATATCGATTAAATAAGAGATCGAACAAATTACAACCTGGTATACAATAAGGAAAGAAAATAAAAAAAAGCGACACGTAGTTGGATACAAAAAAGAGCAACAATTAGCTGCTTATAATTAAGTATTAATCTTTTGAATCAAAGAGAATCCATTACGACAGCTGTAGTGATCCAAATTCATTTTAAAATTGATTCTTGTGTTGTTAGCGTATGCTGGATGATATCAACATTTTCCTCTCTAAACCTCAATTGTGTATTTAGACTTAAACCATAATCACCATTACAAATGAAGAAGAAAAACAAGTAGGTGGGTCTTGTGGAGAGGGATGGATGGTAGAGCAGCCACTAGTTTGGTTAGATTGAGTTGGTTGGACCACCACCACCACCACCATCCCTAAGAGGTTGAAAAGGGTTGTTGTTCCATGTTCATGGACCCATTGGATGGAGTAGTAGCACAATAGAAAAGACCTCAGTTTTACACATAAAAGAAAGAAAAACTGAATCCCAGAAGATTGAACAAATCAGCACCTTCTTCTCAACTAGTGGCCTCTCTCACCTACCACAAAAACCTCATCATTCAGCAAGCACAAGCACAAGCACAATGACAAGAGGACAAAAGAGAATGAATGAACAAAAAGAGCCTAACAATCCAGAACTTGGGTTCTCCACCCAATTGGCAATACTGGCCAAGATGTGGAGCCAGCAAAATATATGAAACACATGTCAAGAACCAGTTGATCCCAATAACTCGAGTTGTTGGGAGAGGTTCAATCGTGGATCATATACCACAACACTAACACGCCCCCTCAAACGAAAGCCACTCACAAGGGCTTGAAGTTTGCACATGTCTGAAGACAAGAATACCATGTGCTTAACAAATGGGAGTCACCGGGGATCGAACACAAGACCTCTCAGTCACAGAAGGCTCTGATACCATGTCAAGAACCAGTTGATCCCAATAACTCGAGTTGTTGGGAGAGGTTCAATCGTGGATCATATACCACAACACTAACAACACAAACATAACAACTTGTGTAAAAAGATCCCAACTTTATTGTCCCCCTCATCCCATCCCATTAGGCATTTGTCCATGGTCCATGGACCATGATACAATTGCTGCCAGATAAGATGGCCAGGTACAGAGTTGCCCCTCCCGGTAGCTATGGTATAGTTGAAATTTTCAAGAAGAATCCATATGGATAAAGGTTGAGTGTGTTCCATGTCTCATCTCGATCAGTTACAAATTAATCGAGAAGTTGATCGAAGAGAGATTCAACTCACAAATCAGAATACCACATACGAAATTCGTGCATATTAAGTTCATCACTTGAAAATCACGACTTCTTGACGGCCCTCTTAGCCCTCAAAGTCAATTGATGCATATGACCTCCCCAGAGCTTTGAGCCTCTACCCTTCCTCCTTTATTTGGGTAAATGACACATTTGGTCACTGAGATTACTAAATCGTGTCATATTTAGTCACTAGAAAAATTTAATATCAATTTTGGTCACTCGAATTACTGACACAGGTCACATTTGGTCACTCTTCTGTAGCCTCTGTCCAACTCCGGTCACTCGAATTATTGAAAAATGTCACATTTAGTCACTCGTATTACTGAAACATGTCACATTTAGTCACTCTCCCAAAAGTTTCCGTCCAACTACATTAATGGAGTTGGACGGAAACTGACGGGAGAGTGACTAAATTTGACCAGTTTCGGTAATTCGAGTGACCAAAATTGATATTAATTTTTTCTAGTGACTAAACATGACACAATTTAATAATCTCAGTGACCAAATGTGTCATTTACCCCCTTTATTTTTTTACTATGCCCTCTTAACCTAAAAGGGTAAAATCACCAACCTCTTCCTCCACTCAATTTGTGTCTTTCGGCTGTAGCCAATATTCCTTGATGGATCGGTCATTTGCGACAATCACAATTTTTTTGTACCAACTAGTTATATAGCTTGAAGCGTATCTTTTGACAATCACAATTTTTTTTTATCATATCATTCATCACCATATCACTATGATTTTTTCACACGCTTATAATGAGACATTTGACTGTTTATTTCTTCAGTTTGACAACAACTAAAAATAAATTTATAATTCAGTCTGGAAAATCTAACAAACCAATCCACTTTCTTGTGATCACATTGTTATTATCAATGCAGTAAATATCATAATTTTGATCGTAAAATCGTAGAATTTTAGAATTTTATTTAGGGATTTCGATCTTGATTTTACTATAAAATCGGTGGACCTTAAAATCGTTTAAAATTGGGATTAAAATCGTATCAGAATCAGATTTTGATCGTATGATAATGAAAAATAGGTGGTTTGAGCCAATTTAAAAGAAGCATAATTGTTTCGCCGGAAAGGGCAATGACGAAAATCTTCTCAGATATTTTTTCTATTAGTAAAATATTTAAAAATAATAAAATAATCAAATTAGGGCTCGATTAATCCTTTTTTCCTTCGCCCCATTTAGCTTATTGGTAAAACAATTGTCCTAATATTGGAAGTATGTAAGAATTAACATCATTATTAACTAATTAATTTAATAATGAATATATTTGTACCAAGCCACTAGCATTACTTATTTTATTGGAGTTCAATTATTTTTAGTTTTAAATCATACTTAGTAGACGATGTCGGAATATTACTTTGAGTTAAACTACCTAGACAACATGAAAACAAGAGCCAAACCCTATGAGCTCATCCCTTCATCATGAATTATTTTGAGTTACGCATTAAATAATAATTAAAATAGTGATTTGGAACATTAATCTTGAGAATTATCTCTTATAAAAAAAAATCTTGAGAATTAACATTTTAAATGTTATGTGTATTTGTGTTATTAATGATTTACCTTATTAATATTATTATATGTTATGTTCTATATGGTACTTAAAATCCTACAATTCTGCAATTCAATTTTATGATTCCAATTTTACCTCAATTTTTAATTTAGATAAAATCTCAATTTTAACTACTTTGGTTATTATCACTAGGTTTGTTGATGTTGCCTTGCCACCATCTCTCCTCATCTCCACCTACCCCTTACACACCATATCATACTGAACGTTTTATAATTCTCACAAGACACAAATTGCCTCTTGGAAACACGAACATAGGAAAAGCAAAAACATTTCACAAAGGATAATCCCATAAGTGGGATTTTTTATTAATTAGATTTTTATTTATTTTGAGCTCCCTATTTAATGGTGGTCCACTCCCAATATAGAAGCTTTGGTAGACATGGTTCAGGACAGGGCCAATCCATTGGACTTTACCACTTTGCCCCTCAAATTCCAACCAAATTCTTTGGCATTTTGTTGCCCTAGAAAGGCTTAGAAAACCCATAAGTAAGGGCTAAGCATGCTATTAGATCCAATGGAAATGGATCTAATTAATGGGTGTCTCTCACTATTTTCCTTCGCCATTTAATTAATTAAATACCTATAAAGCTTCGGTCTTTGACTTCCATCATCCGTTTGAGAAAACCTCCCCAGCACCTATTGTCAGCCCTCAGAGCTCGGGTGAAAACAGCTCGTTTCATAGTCAATTGGGGAGAAACCCAGAAGAAAGATTTGGTGCTCTGCTTTCCAAAACACAAGAGACCAGAGGAAAAAGTTGCGAACTTTTCCTATCTGATTAAAGAAGAAAAGAGAAAGATTGTTGGACTCTCGTTGGCCGGGTAATGAATGGCTGCTCCGCTGACCATGTGGGACGGCGTTCTGGAGATAACCCAGATGGCGCAAGCCAAGGTCGGCGATCCTCTGCTATGGGCTCTGCAAATATCTTCCAATTTGAGCTGCTCTGGCATCTCCTTGCCTTCCCCTGAGCTCGCCAATGTGTTGGTTTCTTACATTTGTTGGGACAACAACGTTCCCATTATGTGGAAGTTCCTCGAGAAGGCTTTGGTTCTCAAGATTGTTCCTCCATTCTTGATTCTTGCTCTGCTCTCAGAGAGGTTCGAGTTTTCCCCTCTTCATAGCCTCTGTTCTTATTTGCTCCCTTCCTTTTTCCTTGTAGAGCGTGTACTTTTTGCCTGTTTTTGAGGTTGTGGGAATTGAGAAGTGTACACTTTTGTCCAAAATTTGGCTAAAAGTAGCAACTTTCGGGGCCATATTTGGATTAATTCACGACGATAAATGCAACAGCTTTATGCCTGATTTGTACATAGTGCTCTGTTACGTAGCTATCTCTGGGTTCTCTACTTCTCTATGATCAATTGGCTTCCCTGAACATGTCTCCAGTGTTAAATTCTGTTTGTCTTGTCAATTTAACTTGTTGAAAATTTGCCTCCCCGAGGTCAACACAAAACTGCAGTTGAAGTAGTTGAGATGTGTTTATGGTTAGAAAATGGGCTTACTATTCTTATTTCAAGGTTTATCCCCCAAGATGGTAGGTTAAATGTTTGAGGAAATGCATACTTGTTTGTTTCTATGTATGCATAATGCAATGCTTATGAAATGAGAACAATTTTTGTGGTGTTTTTTATCGCTCCAACAGAGTTATTCCATGCCGACGCTCAAAGCCGGTGGCGTATAGACTATACATGGAGCTCCTGAGAAGGCATTCTTTTGAGCTGAAGGGTCAAATAAATGGCCCAAATCATGAGAAGTAAGTTCGACAGGATTTTCCTTGTACGGCTGTTCTACCTCTTATAAGCAATGCTGCATTCTAGAGTTTATGGAATTTCTTTCTTCTTTCTTCTCCCAAGTGCCTAATGAATCATGTTATATGTAATAATGGGGACTAGTTTTTTACTGTTAGTTTGGAGTTTTCATTCAAAATCTTTGTGCCTCCATACAGGGTCATGAAATCGATAGATGGAGTTCTTCACCTTTCCGAGATTTTTGGTCTAGAAGCAAGTGATCCGGGGATCATTGTGGTTGAGTTCCTCTATGCAACTGTGTGGCAGTTGCTAGATGCGTCTTTGGATGATGAAGGATTGCTTGAACTTGCATCAGATAAAAAGTCCATGTGGCCAATAAAGCCTCAAGATATGGAAATAGATGGTCATGAAATTTTTGATGAGATAAGAATGGCACACAATGAGAAGTTGCATAACTTGAATACAGTCATGGCAGTTGAGTTGATCGGAAGATTTCTTCAGGACAAAAAGACTTCCAAGATTCTTTACCTGGCACGTCACAACTTGTATGTATATATCTGGTTTGTGTTTAGAAAAATGTTCAACCCTCTTGATAAGTGTTGTCTTATGCATATTGATACTTTGTAGGCCCACTCATTGGCCAAGATTTATTGAGAGATTGCAGCTACTTGGAGCAAATTCATCCGCTCTAAAGAGTTCGAAAGTTTTAACTTCAGAGGATCTTTTGCGTCTGGCTTCAGATAAGTGCACGGTTCTCACTCATGAACCAAAACAGAACTTGCTGCAGAATTTCCATGCTGTTACTGGTTTAATGTCTCCGCTAGTGACATCCTCTGCTGTTCTGAGCGATGGAGGCAGCAGTATTTCTTCTCTTTGGCTTCCTCTTGATCTTGCACTGGAAGATGCCATGGATGGTTATCAAGTCAATGCTACAAGTTCTATTGAGATTGTAACAGGTAAGCCAGGTTTCCCTTCTAGTGAGCAATTTGATTTATCTCTCTCACTACGGAATTATTGGCAATTGGATGGTCAAGGTTGATTTCTCATCTTTTAGGTTTGGTGAAATCGCTTCAAGCTATGAATGGCACCACATGGCATGATACCTTTGTAGGACTTTGGATTGCTGCTCTCCGCCTTGTTCAGAGGGTTAGAACTCCAAGAAAACCTCATTCCTTTATATTGGTTTATTTAGAGGCAAAGTTTCACTTTGCTGAACAATTACGAGTGATGATTATCCATCGAGTTTCTTCATGTTTCTCTCAGATACTCAACACTAAATGATTCTTAATTTGTCAGGAAAGGGATCCAATTGAAGGTCCCGTTCCTCGCTTGGATACACGTTTGTGCATGCTTCTATCCATTATACCCCTTGTGGTTGCTGAGCTCATTGAGGAACAGAAAAGTGTGGATATCAATGAACTGAAAAATGATTCCTCAAAGGTTCCAGGAAGCCGTCGCAATGATGTGGTCTCCAGCATAAAGTTATTGGGTGACTACCACAGTTTGCTGAGTCCACCTCATTCAGTTTTGTCACTGGCCAATCAGGCTGCTGCAAAGGCTATGTTACTCGTTTCAGGCATCAGTGTTGGGAGTGCATACCTTGATTGTCTCAGCATGAATGAGATGCCTGTCAAGTGTTGTAAGTTGTTTGTACTCTTGTACCGTTTGAAGTCGAGTTCTCTGGCCTATTTTCAGGTTCTCAGTCTAATTTAGGTTATAGGAAGCTCATAAAACTTGTTTCCATTTGCCTTTCAGCTGGAAACATGCGCCATCTGATTGTTGAGGCTTGTATAGCAAGAAATCTGTTGGATACATCAGCATATTTTTGGCCTGGGTATGTGAATGGTCACATTAACCATATACCTAATGCCCCACCTCAGATGCCTGGTTGGTCTGCATTCTTGAAGGGTGCCCCTCTTACTCCAATCATGATCAATGCTATGGTTTCAACACCAGCTTCAAGGTATAATAACATCCCTCCTGAAGTGTTTGCTATAAGTGTCTGCTCTCAAGATGCTCCTGCTCAAAATATGATCATGAAAAATTCTCAAGCCTTATTGATATGACATCTCTCGCATAGGAGCCCAATTTCATAGAATCTCATTGTGTAAATCTCTGTAAGAAACCCTAGTTGTCCTTAAAAGTTTAGTGGTGCTAGCCTGGTCTTCAGTTATTCCTTTTGCTTTCCTGAAGCCAGTTATATCAGACGATCTTTTTGTTAATTTTTACAAAGGGTAAAGCAACTGAATTTAAGCTCATGGATTTTATGGAAGTTTAGCAGAGCTGGAGAAAGTATTTGAGCTAGCAGTTAAAGGATCAGACGATGAGAAGATATCAGCTGCTACTATTCTCTGTGGTGCTTCTCTTCTTCGTGGTTGGAACATACAGGTAATTTATGCATCCTCTTTTTTGTTTGCAAGACTTCTTCTGGCTGATTATCTCTTGTCCAAGTTTTGTGCCCCTTTTTCTCTTGCTTGTCCTTATTTTCGATCACAATTTGGAAGGTGAACGAGTTTCATTACGTACGCTGCTGTCTCTGAATTTGATGCAGGAACACACTGCTCAGTTCATTACCAGATTACTCTCTCCCCCTATGCCTGCAGATTATTCAGGGGATGAAAGCCATTTGATAAGCATTGCCCTTATCTTGAATGTACTAATTGTTGGCATAGCACCAGTTGATTGTGTTCAGGTTTTCTCGCTACATGGCTTGGTAAGATTCTGTGCATTAAACACTTTGTCCTGCCTTTTAGTAAACCTTCTCTATTTTGCGTGCTTTACTGAGTCTGTTGATACTGATATGTGTTTCTTTGTCAAAATTCCTCTTTTCTCCCTTCCCTATCACTTACCTTGGTTTCCAGCAGTTGGTGACCGTTTATTGTGCAAAGCTCATGCGAGCTCTAACGTAAATTGAGTCACCAAAAGACCCACACTTTATGAAAGAATTGCTGAAATTTGGATGGAATGGCACGTTTGATAACTTTCCATAGTATAAAGGCCTGGAGACTGGAAATACCAAATTTTAGTAATAATGCATGTTTGATTTCTTTTCACAGCACAGGAGCGTAAAGTGTCATTAACCCAAAAATACTTTCTACAATTTTCACCATTGAAGATTGAATAGGGTATAGGAACAACGTGGACATCTCAGTGTCAAATCATTTCTGTAAAAAAACTGGATAAAGATACAATGCCATTTCTTAGTAAAGCAACTCAACTGAGTTTGTCTTTCCTTTGACTTGTCAGATTCCACAGCTCGCTTGCTCATTGATGCCAATCTGCGAGGTTTTCGGATCATGTGTTCCGGATGTGTCATGGAAGCTCCCCACTGGAGATGAAATCTCTGCCCATGCTGTGTTCTCAAATGCATTTGCTGTTCTTTTGAAGCTATGGAGATTCAACCATCCCCCTCTCGAACATGGCGTTGGAGATGTCCCAACAGTCGGATCTCAGCTAACTCCTGAATATCTTCTGCTGGTAAGAAACTCCTACCTGCCCTCCTCTGGAATAGTCCTCAACGATCAAACCAAACGGAGACTTTCAGAGGTGGCGGCTTCATCTTCTCCACACCCAGTGTTTTTGGATTCATTTCCAAAACTCAAGTGCTGGTATAGGCAACACCAGAAGTGCATAGCTTCAGCCCTCTCTGGTCTTGTTGAGGGAACTCCAGTTCACCAGACTGTGAATCTCCTTCTTACCATGATGTTCAGAAAAATGAATAGAGGTAGCCAGTCGGTCACTACTATTAACTCCGGAAGTAGTAGCTCATCTGGACCAGGAAATGATGATTCTTCTCTTAGACCTAACTTACCTTCCTGGGAAATCTTAGAAGCCGTCCCTTTTGCGGTTGATGCTGCTTTAACAGCCTGTGCTCATGGAAGACTTTATCCTCGTGAACTCGCCACAGGTCAGTGTAACTGAAGCATAGTTGGAAAGCTGTGAATATGAAAAGCTCTAATTTTTTTTTTATCTTTTTGCATCTGGACGGGTGATCAACTGAAATTCTTTTTGAACTCTCAGGGCTGAAAAACTTAGCAGATTTTCTCCCTGCATGTTTGGCAACCATTGTTAGTTACTTCTCAGCTGAAGTAAGTCGAGGTGTTTGGAAACCGGCATTCATGAATGGCACAGATTGGCCAAGTCCTGCAGCAAATTTGTCCAATGTTGAAGACAAGATCAAGAAAATCTTAGCAGCTACTGGCGTCGATATTCCTAGCCTTGCAGCAGGTTTGTTTGTTGCTCCCTCGAGATTGCATTCAATTTATCAAATATATCGTTCTTTTGACACTTTTGATGTATGTTACATTCAAAACTGTGCACGCAATTTCAAATACACCAAATCGATATAATCCTCAAATACTTGAGGAGTAAGAAGTATTCACAAATGCACTTCAGAAAAGTCAGTTCCACGTCTTTTTTCCTCTTTTCTGAGGCATTGAATCGAACAATATTTCTTCGGTAAATAAAAAAATCGTACAATGTTTTTTTGCTTGTACACCTAACATAGTAAGATGCAAGATGAACATGTAGCTGGGATAAATACATAGTTTACAACCATACCAACCAAAAATATCCCGGAATCAGAAGACACATAGCCAACTTGAACTGAAGTTTTGATAATCCTTACAGGGGAAAGCTCACCCGCAGCAACTCTTCCACTGCCTCTAGCAGCTTTTGCCAGCCTCACCATCACTTACAAAATCGACAAAACCTCAGAAAGATTCCTCAATTTGGCTGGTCCAGCACTAGAATCTCTTGCAGCAGGGTGCCCGTGGCCATGCATGCCAATCGTGGCTTCCTTATGGACCCAGAAGGCCAAACGATGGTTTGATTTTCTTGTATTCTCAGCATCACGAACGGTGTTCCTCCATAGCAATGATGCAGTTTTCCAGCTCCTCAAAAGCTGCTTTGCTGCTACGCTCAGCGGTGCATCCATCTCAAGCAATGGTGGAGTTGGAGCACTTCTTGGTCATGGCTTTGGCTCTCATTTCTGTGGTGGCATATCCCCAGTAGCTCCAGGAATCCTCTACTTGAGAGTCTACCATTCGATCAGAGACATTGAGTTCATCACAGAAGAGATCATCTCTCTCATGATGCACTCCGTGACACAAGTTGCATGCACTGGGCTTCCAAAAGAGAGATTAGGGAAGCTGAAGAGGACCAGAAATGGACTTCAGTGTGGCCAAGTGTCACTTGCTGCAGCAATGACAAGAGTCAAACTTGCAGCTTCACTTGGAGCATCTCTAGTTTGTTTATCTGGTGGGCTAGGGTTGGTTCAACTACTGTTCAAAGAGACCTTGCCCTCTTGGTTTATTTCTAGTTATCGCTCCGAACAGGGAGAAGAAGATGGCGGCAGCCTTGGAGGGATGGTTGCTATGCTGAGAGGGTATGCACTAGCGTATTTCGCTGTGCTCTGTGGAGCTTTTGCTTGGGGGATAGGTAACTCATGCTTGGCTTCCAAGAGGCGCCCTAAAGTCCTGAGGGCTCACATGGAGTTTCTGGCTAGTGCCCTTGATGGCAAAATCTCTCTTGGCTGTGACAGTGCAACTTGGAAGTCGTATGTGTCGGGTTTCGTGAGCCTGATGGTGGGGTGCACACCTCCATGGGTGCTTGACTTGGAGCCGGATGTTCTAATACGACTTAGCAAAGGTTTGAGACAGTGGAATGAAGAGGAACTTGCTCTAGCTTTGCTTGGCTCTGGTGGGGTGAACACCATGGGTACTGCTGCTGAATTGATATCTGAAATGCAATAATTTTCTATTCTTTTTCTCCATTTTTCTTTTGAGTAACCTTCGTGCCAGTAGCCCGTTATTTTCCTTTTTTAACATGTCTTGCTGTAGGCAGGAAATCTTTATAGGTTTCATAGCAGATTTAACATAAGACATGCTGTAGTCAGGAATTTTGTGCAGTAATCTTTGTACAGTCTTAGGTATGAGATTTTGTTCAAATACAAGTCCAAGCGAGCAACAATGTTTTGGTGTTTGGTTCGGTATTTGTTTTGGTGCATTTGTATAATTGTATTGTAAATTTCCAATGAGATGTATTTGAAACCAATATAGTTTAGTTCAGTGCATTTATGATGAAAATACGATGTAATTGCTCAATCGCATGTTATTGCAAAATTTGATTTCCCAGATACATCCAACCAAGCCAAACGACCTGCAAGTCAAATCCAAGGTGTTTATTGAACTGATAAAATCTTACAACAGCATCTCTCCATTCATGCGGATTTGTACATGACTATAGCTGTGTGCAGAAATCTGTTTCTGTGGACTATAATTAGAGGCAGGAGAGGTATCAATTACAAGAAGCAAGCAATCAAACAACACCACTGTAGCCAGGCAATCTCAGCATTCTACTGCTTTGCATAGCTTGCCTAACCGAAAACGCATCTTCCCACTTCCCTGCATCTGCATACAGGTTAGACAGAAGAACTCTACTGGCGCCATGGGATGGTTCAAGCCTCGCCAGATTCCCCGCAGCCCATTCTCCTACATCCACGTTGCCATGAGTCCTACAAGCAGCCAACAGCGTGCCCCATATCACCACATCGGCTTCCATTGGCATGCTCCTAATCAGTTTCTCTGCTTCTTCAAGCTGCCCGGATCTCCCCAGAAGATCCACCATACAGCCATAATGCTTGATATCGGGGCTCACATTATGGGCTGATTTCATACTCTCGAAGTATCTCTTCCCAAGCTCCATCATCCCAGTATGGCAGCAGGCGCTGAGAACCCCAATGAATGTAATTGCATTGAGCTGGATGCCTCGCATTTGCAGGTCGTAAAATATCTCGAGAGAGAGGTTCGCATGACCATGCATGGCAAGAGCACATATGATGGCGTTCCAGGGTGAGACAGTGGCTGCTTTGTCACGGATTCGATGGAACACTTCCAACGCATTGGGTATGCTCCCACATTTTGCATACATGTCTATGATTGCAGCACTCAGATTGTCGTTAATAGGTATATAGCTATTGACTACGTATCGATGAGCCCAGATGCCTTCTTTCATAGTGCCTAAAGAAGCAATTGCCGAGAACACACTCACCATAGTCACCTCATTAGGTTGGATACCAGCTGCAACCATGTTATGGAATAACTCCAATGCCATGGTTGGCTGCTCGCTCTGTGCATAACCAGAGATCATTGTGCTCCAAGTGAAAACATCTCTTTCTGGCATTTCATTGAATAACTTAGCTGCTTGGTCAATCATCTGGACTCTCACGAAACCTGACAAGAGAGCATTCCATAACGCGACGTTTTTCTTAATTCCTTGATCAAACTGCAAACAAGCTTCCTTGATTCTGCCACAAGCTGCATAGAGATGGGTTACTGTTGCCTGGATAAAATCGTTGCAGTCGAAACCTTTCTTCACGAGGATCGCGTGTAGCTGCTGGCCCTCGCTGATTGCTAGTGCTTTCCTGCATGCAGAAACCAGGTCGACCATCATAACATCACTAGCTTCTACACCAGAGGATACCATGGATCGGTACATCGAAAGAGCATCACTCAACATCTGTACTCGTATATAACCGTCAATGATGGTACCCCAAGATACAACATCCTTCTCTGGAACATTATCGAACACGTCTCGAGCCAGATGAATAACTCCAGCTTTAGCATATCCATTCAGCATTACGTTCCATGTGAAGATGTTTCTCACTGGCATTTCATCGAACAATGCTCGGGCATCTGTTAAACTGGAACACAGGCAATACATGCGTAGCAAATTAGTGGAAACAAGGACCAGCTGATCGAATATCATCTTGATGACCAGCCCGTGAAGCATTCTACAGACTTTGATCCCGCCCAAGCTCGAACAAGCGGATATCAAGCTTGCCATCGTCACTTCATTCGGGAGCACCCCAGCACTTCTCATCTGTTTGTAAACCTCAAATGCCTCCCAAAAGAAGCCGCTTTGTGCAAAACCCATGATCATGGTCGTATATGAAACGCAGCCTCGTTTAGGCATTATATCAAACAGCTTGCGGGCTTCATTCAATTCCCCAGATTTCACATACCCTGCTATCATAATGTTATAGGAGACAGGATCCAGTTTCGCACACGAATCAAACATTGATTGCGCATCGCCCAAGCACCCACACTTGGCGTACATGTTGATCAAGCTGTTCTCCACGAAGTTGTTAGACTCCAAGCCGGATTTCATAACCAGGCCATGGATTCCCCTGCCTCGAGAAACATCCAAATTGATACAACATAACTTAAGAGCAGAGACCAAAGCAAGCTCGTGATTGGAGGCTTGTTGGTCGTCTCTGGAACTGGAACCAGCTCCATATCGGAGACCGTGAATTGAACTGCGGATGAAGATAGTTCCGGAGGCAAAACATTGTAGAGCAGGCAAACAAGAGCTCGTGAGGCGACGTAGAAAAGCGGGTTTGCAAGACGAGAGGATCATGAGACTGCAACATGAGAAATTTGACTACCCAAATCGCTATCTTCCAGGCCCAAGAGATAAGAGAGCCATTTATTAAGGGCCGCCATGTTTGAAGCTTGAACTTCTCGGAGTTGCCATTACTGCGGAACATTACAATGAAAATTTAACCGTACCAGACAAGCAAGCGGAAAATTTGAACTTCTGATTCAGAAGAAGCTGTATATGGAATTTATGATGATGAAGCATAGTTTATTTTATTCCCATTGACAATGCTATATGGATCCAGTTCCAGAATTGAATGACCAAGTCTATAAAGTTTGTATCTTTTCTATCCAGAAACAAGAGAAATGTCTTCAAGAGCAGGCGGGAAAAGAAAATAGTATACTGAGATTCATCGGGTAGATCTTGAAGCATTCTCTTGTTCTAGAGTTGTATAGTCTATGTAAGAGATAGCAAAGAACTGGATTCCTAGAATCTAAACCAGGGGTATATAATAGGAAGAGGAGGAGCCTGCTCTTCATCCGAACCACCGCCATCTGTCAGCGATGGAGATCCCTGTTTGCTGCACTCACGTTAGCCAGAGCCCTGCAACAGGTCCCAAAGCAGAGTGACTTATAAGTGTCATGTTGTGAGAAAACGCAGTTGAATGATTACGCTAATATATTGTCATGAAATGGAAGCTTAGTGATGTAGCGTTAATCAACAACAAGAAGTTTTGCCAATTACTTGCTACTTTATACAATCAAAAGATTGTCTCTTCGGGGACATTCGACATACAATTAAAAGATCATGCACAAACATCAGAAATTTCAAGTTTGGCTTGAACATTCGAAGCATGCAGTGATCATGTCATGGAATCAGAGATTTCAGAAGTACTTGAGGTTCCTAGGGGAATTTACATATGTTTGACCACTGGATGTTGACAAAATCAATCAAATAGCAAAGGAATTTCCCTCAAACATACGACTCTAGTAAGAAATGCTTCCATATGTACTAGCAAATCTAACACATCGATAGAACACATATTGCTTGATGTCCAATTTTCTGAAATAGGGGATCTTCCTATCAACAGTCAATCCAAGGGGATGAATCAGAGGCGGATAAGGCAAATCTACCAGGTAGGGTGTTCCGCCTCTTCGCAATTTCAAGGTACTCGGGATAAACAAGGGAGAATAGAATAAAGGCTGGATGAGTGCCTGAATGTGTGCACTACTTCATATTAGCCAACCAGTCAACTAATTTCGTCATTGGGCCATTGGCCTAGTGCCAAACACACTTACTCTGAAGTAAACTCCACCATACTATCCCAGCCAGTATATATCATTGAAATTTTAGCTGTTCTCAAAATGAGCGGTCAAAGAAATCAACAATAACAATCATTACGAGCAGGGTGGTTATGCAAACAGCAAAGAGCTGCTTGGTCGACTAATGCTAAATTCAGTAGATTTAGATGCCGCAGAAACTTTACCGAGCACTCAGTAAGAGACTCATTAGTGCCGCTTAATTCTCTAAACTAATAAAGCAAAACAAGAATCTGCATAACTGGTGAAGTTCATTGCAAACAGAGCATTCAACTGATTACCGCTCTTGGGTAGCAAAAAAGAAGGCGCTGATAACCAACACTACACGAAGCAGTATCACTGGTATGCCTTGAACATTGATTATACTAGGAGAACCAAGTTCATTCTTTCTCAACAAGACAACAAAGTTGCATCTCATGCCATCAAAACCACTATTGGGTTCCACACAATTCATCCTTCCTGAAAGCATCCAGTGCCATTAGGAGTTTTCAATTCATCTGTGCTCTCTTAGGAAACATCAAATTGGTGAAGTTTCCCTGAGAAACAATCAATATTCTAGGGCAAAGCAAGTGTATAACACACTGATAGAGCACAAGTTTGGACATGACAAACCCAACATCGGTTGCAATCTTTGGTACTGACCCCGGATCATCAATTGTAGAGGAAGATCCTTTTAGTTTAAGAAGAAAGGACCTATATTGATCTTTTTTTCCATCGGTATTGACAAATGACAATCTATATTGACCGCGCAGTCTTGTCAATATTGAATGATATCGACTTACTAACCCATGAAAAAACTAAAGCTTTTCAGAGTCGCTATCCAGAGCCTCAAAAGCTTGATCATTCTAAAGAAAGAGGGAAGAAAACAGCATAAGTTCCACACCCATGGTGGACTGGGCAAGAGTTAATATTTTATTCTAGCTAAGCTCTTGCCATGAACAAGCAGCATTCAGCAATATCATCTTGCAACTGCATGACTTGTTAGCATGTTCAAACGATGTTTGATTTCTGCCCCATAGGAGCGACCTGTACAGAGTGTTTCCATCACTAACCAAGCTTACAAACTAGAAGTAGTTCACAATTGTGAGACCAAGAAGATGGTAGCAGAGGATCTCTAATAATATGAACATCTGCACCGAGTAAAATGCAAACCTTGACTACATCTCTCATTACGTCTAAAATAGCTCTCTAAGTCCTCAGGAAAGTCAAGTCAAGAGACATGGAAGCAACCCAAATGGGAGGAGGAAAAGAAGCAGACTTCTACCACTGTTTGGCTGCAAATGGCCAACCAGAGAAGCATGAATAAAGTCCATCACCAAGCATGACCGCAATATGAAAAATTGGCATCGCCCTCAGAATTCAATCCAACTCAATCACCAATGACTCTCAGATGACGGCAGTCATAACAGCAATTGCCCAAATCTTAGAACTAGGGTTTTCATGCGATCAAATTATCCACACCCAATCACTAAAATTTCCCCATTAGAGGAACCAAACGAAACAACAAATTCGAAACCCATCGAATCCAATCAACAAACGATCTGATTGAAAGGAGGGGAGCAATCCAATCCAATCCACAGACAGGAAAGTAACTCACTTTTTATGCCGCCGGCCTCGCTTAGGTCCCCAGCCTTCCAATTTAGCGACGGGGCATCCACACCTAGCCCTGAAGAGCAAAACCGCCCTGCCATTAGGGGGAGCCATCTTCCTGAGCTCAGCCCTCAAGCACTCATAATCCGGGTTCCTCTCATTCCCACCTTTCCACGGCAACTTATCGATCTCCTTGGCGCCATTGGATTTCACACAATCCTCGGTCTGCAGCTGCAAATCGAACTCCATCGCCTTCTTCAGCCCTTTGCATCGCGGCCTGTCGCACTTTCGAGATCTCGGCCCGCAGCAG